GTGTCTTACTTGAGGCTGGTGGACATTGGTGCATCGGTGAAGTTCCAGTGCAAGCCCAAAAGGGACATTGCTCCATGTCTCACGAGGACGAGGGCGAGTTCAGGTGGATTCTGGCTCACCCGTTTGGAGCGTCCCTTGAATGCTGTAGCTCCCTGGCCTGCCACTTCATTTTGTCATTTTGCTTAAGCCCAATGCACCTCTGTTCATCCACAGGTGATTTATTGGATGTCTTTCATTTTGCATGTTGAAAGCTTAAGGAGTGCCTTCGGCTCATGGGTCTGCCGGATGATTTGGCGGCGTGCGCCAAAGAGATGGACATCTCTTCTGCGAAACTTGGTTGGCTTTGAGTTCAAGTTGCTTGTCACGTTCAATTTGCCATTGATTGAATGTCAGTTGAGGAAGCTGATGGGTGCTTGTGGCAACGCGTGGCCGGTGGCATTGGTAAGCAAGATCGTTGAGGGGATCCAGGATGCGATGGGGTGGCCAAAGGGCCAGTGATTTGATGGAAGTATGATGGAAAATGGGTGTGCTGAGATTTGAAAGGGCACCTGCTCCAACATCCACCCTTCCCACAGACCCTGTGAAACGAAGTCCCATCTCTCTTGAATCTTGGCTGCCAGGCGGTGCCGCCAGCAGCGCCGCAGTGGCTCTTGCTGTGGCTGCTGCTGCCGCGGCTGTCGTCGTGGTGGTGGTGGCTGGGGTGGGGTTTTCCTCAGTATTTTTTATCCATCAACTATTTTACTACCATAACTACGCCTAAGATATTAATACTATGAATTACATAAATATGTATTTATATATTATGTAATTAAGGAGACGGGTGTGCTCTATGTCATTTATGCAAAACCCGCTGGTCAAACACCTTTTTCGTTGACACCCTTCGACTCCGTTTTGGGGTTTCATCCCAGTCGCCGGAGCATCAGCGTGGTGACGGCTCCATCACTACCGGTGCGCGCGACCGGTGCACCCACAGGAGAGGCGTCGGGCGACACGGGCGAGGCCGTGTAGGTGTCCAACTTGAAGGAAGGGCTTGCACCCATGAAAGGAGACCTGGGCCACAAAACTTCGGGAAAACTGAGGGCGGTTGGTTGGCAGAAAAGATCATCAAGTGGGATGGCTGATTATGGATGACCTTACAAGGACAAGGGGATTCAAGGGGACCATTGTTCGCAGCCATCGTCCACTCGTCCCACCATCCAAAGCCCCAGAAAGGCACTCCAGGAGACATAGGAGATGCTTGCAGAGTTGGACTTGCACATGACATCCTTAGTCATGCCAGACGAACGCACGCCACCAAGAATCTCAGACTCTTTTTATCGTTTTGGAGTGCTCTTCGTCGGCTTGTTTTTGGAGTGTGCTGCGACAGCAACCACGGCCCCTGGGATCAAAACCAAATCCCTGACTTGAGGTGTCTGGAACCAAATCCCTGAAGAGAATCCTCGGAGAAGCGCCTCCGAAATCCAGACCTTTGGATCCGTGAACACTGAAATTGAGCAGTCCAACTTGGAAGTAGCATCCACTTGTGGCTCCGTTCGTATCCTTCATGAACCTGCCAACGTCCAACGCCCAGCACTGAAACAGGTGGTGAGGATAATAAGGGCTCCTTCTACCGTCGTGCAAGCGAAAACGTGAGACAAACGCGACAAGCGACCGACCCTGGAATCTGAAATGGTGAACCAAAAGAAGATTGCAGAATCAATTCAGAACCTCCTTCCATCAACTGTGTCTTGCAAGATGATGTTCTTATTGGTGGATGCCTTCATTTTCCTGCCGAAGCTCCAGGTGAATCCCTGCGACAAATGAGCAACACCAAACCCCACGTAAGCGGGAACACATCGTTTTCTCAGTCCAGGCATCGGTGAGTATTGAGGTTTCGTGGCGAAAAAGATGTCAGGAGTTGCTTGACCTCGGAACGCTCTAGGCTAGGCGCTATTAGATTGGAGGCCATTGCTATTAGGTTAGAGGCCATACCTTCTAGGTTGGAGGCCATCGCTATAGGTTCCTTTGGCTATTAGGTTGGAGGCTATCTATTAGGTTGGAGCCTCTAGTCTAGGCCCAGAATCTGGGCCATGAACTGGGCAAAAAGACCCACCTGTACGTGGGCCAGGCACGCTGGTGTTGGCTGATGTTTGGTGTGAAGGCATGACAGGTGGTTGAGACTTTGTCGGCGAAGAACAGGAAAATCTCCCTGGAGAACTTAGGGAGAAGAGCCAGAAGAGCCATTACAACGTCCTGGTCTTGGAGTGCCATCGTTCGAAAACCTCTCTTTTCACTTCTTTTCCCTTACCACAAGATCCTGCTGGCCCCTCCCATCTCCCCTCCCTGCGCCAGGTGGCAACATGTCAGCGGAATCCGAAGCACTTGGCTCCTCGGTCGATCCGCATCGATCGGAGATCTCCGTGCAGCACCGGTCGCTCCGAGGGTTGGATCATGAATCCTCCAAACTCTTCGAGGGGAGGCAGCGACCTCCTGAGATGGGTTTAGACACCCCACACATCGAGACATTTCGGACTTGCCCAACCTACACTACCGAAAACTCACATAGACCCTGACTGTCCTGGCCCCCCTGGAAGAGTGTTTTCCTCTACCAACCAGTGGTTTTCAGGGTCCATGGGATCGTCACCACCAGGGTGTATCCCCCACGGTCCACGCCCAGACGTTGGGATTCTTGACCCAAGAAGCCATTGAACCATATTGAACCGGGAGCTACCCGACTCCGCTGGCGGTTCTTTTTGGGTCTGTACACAAAAGCCGGAGGGTCCAGTGACGTTCATTGCCCCTTGCTGGTTTGCTTCCATGAAAAAATGCTGCATGTATTTACAAAGAAAAATGGCAGGTTCATTTCTTTTTGGTCGCACATTAGGACCTTGGTGTAAACCAAATGGGTTCCTTGAGCAAGGATATTGCAACACCACGTTCTACGTAGTCACGTTATAGTATGTTTAATAATGTTTAATATTGTTTAATAGTTGATTCTCAGCTTGCAGTCATCCTGTTATACTGTTTCTTCAAAGTTGAAGGCACCCCAGATCCAGCCAGAAGACCTCAGATCCAGCTCCTAGTCCACCGGTGCACCCCGTTCCCACCCGTTCCGCCCTTCGTTCGATCCAGCGTCGACAGACTTGCGGCCACGGGCGTGTCGTTCACCAGCGGGGCGTCGATGTCGGGCTCGCTGCAGGTGGGAGAACCTGGCGCAGCCAGGCGCAGCGAAGCCGCGAAGCCGGTGGGAGGGAGCTGATCGTCGTTCGCCAGGGAGACCGCGGGGTGGGGGGCGTGGAGACCAGAGAATCTCGTCCAATGACGTTCAGTATGGTTTGACCCTATCACCATTCCGGGTGCGGAAATGATTGGGGGCACCCATCACCCCATCACACACTCTGGCACCGCCTTGTAGTGTGCTGCACACGGTCGAATCGCAATTCTTCCAGTAGCTCTGGAAGCCTTAGCAACTCTTGACCTATACAATCATTCTGAAGTCGGCAAGTCGAAAAAATTGCAGCAACTCGATCGACTCTTTGTTCGATTGTTGAACGTTCTGGACAAACAGGGAATCGAGATCTGTCTAGATCTGCCTATAGGTTTTATTTGGGGACTCCGATTTCGGACCTCCAAGTTCTCGCTCCAAGTTGCTGCTATCCTCGTCATCCGTGTCCGGCCAGGCCACGGGTGGCTCGCCCTCCTCGTCCGTGGAGCTCGAGTTCGGCCGCTCGGGGGCCTCGTCCGGGAGGTGCTCGGAGAAGGTCCACGAACCTTGGTGGGCGGACCGGTTCGTAGAATGCTGCGTGGTCAGACGGAAACTGGGGATCTCATATAGAAAGACATGGAAGGGGCTCATGATCTTTAGAGGGAGCAGGATCCAGCAGCAAAAGGAAGAATTTTTGAAGCTGCTTCATGCTGTTCAGTCTCAGTTCATCGGTTCATGGATGTTCATGGCCTTACGCTTCCGTAAATGTGCTGGAAAATGGTCTGGAGTTCCCAATGCAGACCAGTTTCCAAATACCGATTTCAGTCCTAATTGTACTACGGATGGCACACTCTTCCATCCATGTCTCCATGTTTCACATCCATCCACCCTCTCTGACCCGGCTTCCTCCCTTCTTCCTAGGCTGGTCATCCGGGCGACGGCTCCGGCGCAAGGTGGCGGTCTCATCTCCGGTCTCGTAGGCGAAGGTGGGTGGGAGAGGCTTCAAACGCCGCTCCACGAAGGACATAATTGCACAGAGTCCACGGAGAAAATAAAGGCTTAAGGACTTCTCAAGGCTTGAGCCGGTTTTGCTTGGGCATAGCAGAAGGAAACGTCCAATTCGAGAAGTGCCAGCATCAGAATCCAGAAAATCATGAATCCGCCAGCTTATGGTGAAGTAAAACTGAGGAGTAAAAGGAAACTTCTCCACAATGTTTGAAGGAACGACTGGGATCCAACAAAAATACCATGTATACGGTCCGTACCCCCCTCTCTCTCTCTCTCTCTCGCAGCAATGCTAACATGTGCAAACCTCTAAAGGAAAAAAAAACATAGCGTACTTCTTTTGCATCACGGAAACTACTGACTGATCAGGTAAGCAGAGACATGTTATGTCTGGCGGACTGCTTCGACCTCACAAGCCGGGAGGTGCAAAAAGAAAACATTCCATGCCAGTCATCCGACGTGTTTAACTAATGCATTTAACATATTTAATACAGATGAACCATCTATCATCGAAATTATGCGCAGTATATGAACTGTGTTCTACATACGAGGTCATAGTAGGATATTATGTATCCTTTAGAAAAGGCCAAGGTGATCAAGCAGCTGAAATCGAGGCTTCTGAAATCCCCATGTTTCAGCGTAAATCACTCGTATCTCCAATCACACAACAGTAAAGCCTGGTGGTCAAAGCAAAGGAAACCCATGACCCACATCCAGTGAGCTCGGGCTGTTTCCTCATCCATGTTCTGAGCTTGAGCGCCTGACTCGCTTCATTTTGCTGGGACCGGACGTCCATCTGAGGCCTCCCGACGACCAAGATCATATAGAGGAGCTGCAACCCCACTGGGATGCGATGCACCTGAGCGCAGCGCTCGGCCTAGCCTATCTGGGATGTCACATGAAACCAACCCGCTGAAACGACAGCTCTTTTGACATATATAACTTCTCTAAACTCTAAAGCCATATTTCCAGGAGCACATCCAGGAGTGCCCTACACTAACTACTAACTTCAAACAATATTCCACCATGAGAAGTACTACTAACTTCAAACAATATTCCACCATGAGAAGTACTGCGATTGCTTAGTTCTCATCGATCAACAGCACTGCTTGACCTTCGTCATATGTACCATACCATGAGGAGAAGCATGCTTGACATGCCCACGTACCATCACCTACCCACACAGCATACAGCACGTCCACGGGATTGACTTGGAAGAACAACTGCCCCACTGTGCTGTGCCCCGAAACCTCAAGATCCATGGGACTGGCCAGGTGGTTCAATCACCCCCCCACCCAGAACGAAGCGAACGCGGACGAGGTTGTCAGCTTTGACTTACTACCATGGCGAGAAATCAAATCCTCCATCCTTCGCCTAAAGACTCCCCGTTCGCGGGATCTGTGCAGATCTGCGGTATAGACCTCACCTGACGCAGATCGGACCTTCGGACGTTCCGGCTGCGAGTTCCCACACTGTGCGCAGCCCACCTGGACTCCCAGGATGGAAGGCCCCTCGGAGGAGCCGCTGCCGGCCGCCTCAAACTGCTCACGGTCCTCGCGACGGGCCCAAGCTGAGTCGTCCCAAGGCGGGGGCGTATGACGTCAGGGCGTTTGTTCGAGAAGTCGCTGAGTTTTGGGCGTGAAGATGTTAGCGATGTTGATGTTTGTTCTGGCTTGCTTCTAAGAGTTCCAGCTGCCACATGTCAAAAAGTAAGCAGGGAACACTTAGTACTATGCCTCAAAGACCTATTGTACCTCTACCCCCTCCCAAAAACACTGGTTTCCCAGAGCTGAAACGGTCAAAAATCCAGCTATATGTTGCTTTCTATATGTGACCACCTCTTGCTGATTGGTTGTTCTGGTTGGTAGTGGCGGAGCGTGAGTGCTGCCAAATAAACAAACAGAAGTTCTACCCATTGCCAATGACTGTTCCATTGCCCCAACCGAAGCCAAACACGACCTGTCAATGTCAGAGACCCCTTCAAACTCGAGGAATGATACCAAATCAATCCAAATCAATGTCAACCATAAACTATAGAAAGAGCACGAGCCTCATGGAATTCTTCGAGATGGTCTATTTATAGGAGGTACAGCATTGAAGCGTTGGCCACCCCGAATTCCTGATTCTCCTTTTTGCAGGACTGGCAAGTATTTATTTCATGTCCATTTGCAGGAATTCTCAAAATCAATGTACCCCTCTACCGGTCGTTTGTTCACTTCCCTTCTAGCTTGACTAGCTTGACCCATGTAGTATTGCAATTATGGATCTGTATCCCCCAGCACGTGGTTTGCGAAGTCGCTTGGACTCATTAGTTGGCCTTCAAAGGCTGTGCTTTTCCCAATCGAAGCATGGTTTCACTCAGAAAAAAGGTGTTTGGCGTGCCCATCGTTGTACCTCATTTGCAGTCACGTTGAATATATACAGTATATATATATATATATACAAATAAGAATAAAGAGTTAAACATAGCCTAGCCCTAACAATAACAGTTGGACAACAAGGTGCAACTACAGAATTGTTGCCGGTTCTTAGTTCTTCCTATTCCGAAAACGACGATGTCTTTTTTCATCTGAACTCTGATCACGACGTCAAAGGGCGCAGGTCTCGACGTCACACGCCAGGCATAGCTGCCGACGGCATCGCGCTTGTTCTCGATCCTTTGCCGCACGCACATCTTGTGCGGGTCACAGCGCTGGTTCGATTCACTGCATCTTGCAGGTTCGATTGATGCGGGTTCAATCTGAGTTTGGCTCAACAGAAAAGCATAGATCCATAGATCCTCCGACCACATATTGACACAATCCCATGCTTGGTCGTGACATTGATGGAGGTTCGGAACACTCGTCGACTGGGCTAACTGACTAAAGGTGCCCCACCCTAACTGCCAGATCTTCTGCAAGGCGTGTTTTGTTTGTCTTGGAACTCTTTGGGGCTGTGGGTCGCCGGGGATGCTGACCCGGATGTCACCGACCGGCCCTTGGGTCGAAACGCTGAACAACACCGCCAGGGCTGTCGAAACCCGTGTTGGCAACTGGACGACCGCCAGCAACTGGCAGTTTTGCGCAACTTGTTCTGCCACATCATTGTGTCAGTCTACCTATCATGGCCTTCTCTTATTGATAGGTCATGAACAAGCCAGGGAAACATAAATGAGTCCAGCTACAGGCTTAACAGGTGGAAGCAAGCATGGCAAAAATCACACTTCAAAATTGGAAAATACTGACTCACCTGTCAAAGGCTTAGCTGCAACTGGAAGAACGTTGTTTCGAATTGCAAGTGCTGATCTCTTCAGCTATCATGTTGTATCATCTCGTGTATCAGTGGTGCCTAAAACTTCATCCAAACTTCATGATTAATGATGCTTGAATTCTAAAGGGTATGCACTTGTGTTAAACTGAACATTAAGCAGCATTAAACATGTTCACATGTTCATCTCATCTCCTTCTATTGAACCCACTTAAAGATCTCTGGTGCCTTCTTTGTGCCTCACCGTGGTGCTCTTCACCCGGTGCTCCCCTCAGCCCGCGAGCTTCGCTCCGACGCCGTTCGGCGAGCTCTTCGAGCAGCAAGGTCTTGCGCTGGCGCTCCTGCAAGGTCGAGCTGCAAGAAATAGGTTTTCTATGACATGGATCTGTCCCAGCCCCATTGCCAAAAGCTCCGGGAAATCTGTACCTTAAGCTTTACCAAACATCATTAACCACTGCTAGCGACTGCTACTTCCAGTCCGTGACAATGAAAACACAAAGTTTCTTCGCATATGACCGATCGGTTGTAAAGGATAAAACATGATAAAAACGGTTCACATCTTAATCATCATTTTGCTCCGCTTGGGAGGGTCGGCATGTTGCCCGGGAGCCTGTTGTAGAACCTGATTTTTCTCCCATAGAGCAAAGCCAGTGACTGGAGGAGATGTCCATGCGACCAGTGTGGGGAATCTGCATATGGAAGGACGGCTCGGTGGCGCAGCCCGGTGGCGCAAGGAATGAAGCCCGAACCCGAACCCTGAACATCCCCGAAGCCCGCACCCAAACACATGGGGTTTTGAGGGTCCGGACCCCTGCTATGGAGCGCCCAAGGATTCTTAGGAAATCATGTTGACGGCCGATTGGCATGATTGGGGGCATTGGATTGATCTGGATGGTCGATTGATGTCGGATGATATTTGGTTTGACTGAAAAGAGAAGGAAATACCCATCCAACATCCTCCATGCCCCCGGTGGACTGCTACAAACCAGAAGAATTGGCGTTTGGGGGACCAGCAACCCAGTGACCATCTGGCTATGGAACAGTGCCAGGAGCCGGGAGGTTTGGGAGCATGCTTTGCAGAAGCCGCACTTCAAAGGCATGCCCTCTGAAGGAAGGCCCCATCGCCCCCAGCAATCACCCATCGCTGAATTATGGCCCCTTCAGTTGCTGGATCAAGCTACGATGTCTCCACGGCGTTCCCACTGGATGTCGAGAGTTCTTGCAGGTCACAGGGACAAGGATGTAGAAGGGCTATGCAAGTATCGAAGTCAAGGCTGTACGTTCTTTATTTGGGTGTGAGTCACATCCGGGCTGCCCGGTTGACCATGCAAAGAAAATGAACAGAATGGACTACTAAGGAGGTCAACCTACCCTCCTGGTGGTTTGGGGCTCCGGATTTTGATCCCATGCACAGCCATTTAATTTGTAGTTGGTGTGAACTGTGGTTGATGGTAGAATCATAGTGACGCACTTGGTACGTCTGAGCACTCAGGAGTCTTCAACTATCCGCAAACATCTAAGATTATCTACATGGATTGCACTTGTAAGGGAGCCCAAATGTCTAATTTGTTCTTCTGCACAATTCGACACACACAACACACGATGGGTGGACGACATGGTCCATCGTTCCCGTTCTCCTGCAAAGAAAGCTCATGTCTGGCGCACCTCAGGTGAACCACTCGCAAGGAGAACACAATGACTGGACCTGTCTTAGTAAGAATACATAGTAATAACAAGAACAGAAAACTTCAGGAAGTCGGACCGCAGTCCCCAGCTGCACTGGACTGGAAGACACCGACCCCACACCCGGTGTACAAATCGGAGAACATCGATCGTTGACGAAAAGCGACCACCTCGAGGTGGGAGAAACGCCCGTCCCGAGCGCGTTGTGATGCCTTCGAAAGTCGGGACTTCTGTGACTTAGAAGCTCCAGACTTCCACTTCGTTGACACACCAAACCTCCGCTTGTCGAGGTACGAGACCGCCCTAAACCCGAAACTCCCAGATCCGAAGACACACATGTAATAACATGTAGCGGCTCTATGGAGTGGCCCAGCATTATTATTGGACAAAGACCGTCGGACCTCATTGGAACTGGATTTGCTCTAAAAAGAAAGGCCAAGAATCAGGATTTACTGGGTCAGATCCTGAGAATCAGGACTTCTTTCTTGAGCACCTAATGTTTCAACACCTTCTGCAAACCCACCTCAACAGTTTGTCTCAAGCGACCGGGTCTACCTTATATATACTTCCAAGGCGCTGTCGCGTGTCGGCCGACCAATAGCCCCCGACGATATCCAAAGTACGAATCCTGCGCCAAAGATGGGGCGAATGAATAGAACTGCAATGAATTGGGTCACAGGGAGGAAACAAAGAACAGAATATCCTGTGCTTTAATGTGCCCTACCCTATGATCCTATTAATAATGTTTATCCTCAAAGTAAATTTACTTATTATTAGATAAACGACCTTTACTCTGATGGGTGAACACCGGTCCCTTTGGAAGTTCCAGGCCCTGGATATGACCCCCGAGCTCAGGCCCCGAAGAAACGGGACAGGCGCCGGGCGCGGACTCCGACAAGGAGCAAACGGCTATGCATCCGACTTAACAATTCAAGTTGCCATCTGAAAACACGCTCGTGAATTGACTCCAACCAACCATGGTGATCTTTGCCAGGCCCGAGACCAGCGAGCAGATCCATACGTCGTTTGAGGCAAATCTTGAGCAAATTCAAGAGACTCATTAAAGTGAATCAACTCCATGGATCCCCAAGACTGTGTAGCTTCCACGGCACGACCAAAAAAGGACAAACACATTTAGCTCTTATCATTGCACCAGAAAAAGTGGTTGGATGGTTTGGAGGGCGGTTGCTACCAGCTTCCAAGCGTCCTTTCGTTTGGGTGTCCCGAGTCGGGACGGCCTCCCAGTGGCAGCAGGTGTGCCACAAAGGCGGACCTCAACGGCTCAACGACGTGCCAACATGAAAATCCCAACGACGTGCCTCAGGTTGTGTGTTTTCTTTAATGAATCCTGATAGAACCCACAAGCCCGAATGCAGTCACTTTGTATAGAAGCGTAGCACTCAAAGCGTTCTTGTTTTCGGAGATGACTTGCAGAGTCATCAACAATCCTCACTTCCAAAACGAGCACGAAAACTGACACTTCCAACTCCCAAAACGAGCGTTTTACACGAGACTTTCACGAAAACTGACAATCCAGACTTCCAAAACGCGCACTTTACACAAGACTTTCACGAAACCTGACAATCCAGCCTTCCAATACGAGCGTTTTACACCAGCCTTTCAC